TCAACCAAAGGGTCTTTTCCGTCCCCGTGTAACGTCACGTGTATTGCCGCAATGTTTTTTAAGATCTCGCAAAAATTTTTAATTTTCTCCTTGTTTGGTCACAAAAAAAAATCGGGTCCATATTTAAAACAAATTCAAGAGCAACGTTGCCCCTTTTTAAAATTTCAAAACCCCCCTTTTTCCCCCTCCCCAAAAATTTCGTAGCAAAGTTTTTAAGCGAAAAAAAAAACTTTTTAAAACCTTTGTTTCTAGCGAATCTGGGAAAACCCTTTTGTAAGATTTTTTGCATGGGAACAGCAACAACATCACCAAAACAGGGTCACGTGTTGCCTTCCTTTAATAAAAGTCCGATTTGAAAGCAATCTAAGGAGGGGGGTTGTAAAAGTTTTTTTACAAAAAATTAACTCACTTCATTTCCATTTTTAAAACTCCGCCCCAACTTTCTTTTTGCCCAAATACATTGTATTTTATCATGAAAACAATTATTTAATTTCTTAAATTTTTAATAAAATAAAATTTTTATGTACGCTCTATGGGCTTTTCCCAAAATAAATTTGTGCTAGTACTAGCCCCCGTCTTTTTTTTTTGGGTCAGCAAAATACATCATCACATCACCAAAAAAGCCGAATTTTACTTTCAGTCACCCTTTTTAAAGCAAATTTGAGCCATTGACGTTAGTTTTGAAAATTTTTAAACAACAGCAAAACGGGCACAGGGCCCCCTTGCCAGAAAACAAGGTTTTTTGACACAGTTGGTGTTAAAAAAACCCAGGGGGGACCCCCAAATTTTTTTTCTTTTCCCCCCCTCCCCCAACAATACAGGCACAGTGATGTACTCCTTGTGCATCACACGTGCACTCTTTCTGTCTCCTGAGGTTAATAAATGGTACCTTCTTCAAAGCTCGTACCATCCTCATGCTCACAAACTGCAGGCATTACCACATCTACTTCAAAGTCGTCACTAGCAGTGACTCCATCCTTGGTGGCCTGGCAAGTGTAGGTTTCCATATCATCATCAGCATCAGCGTCAGAATACAGTCAGCATCTTCCTGTAAAGAAGTTACAATTTTTATTGAGGTATTAATTAATACACACAGCTTCAAAGAAGTTTTGGGATTTAAGCAAAAATATATAATGAATTTAGTGGCCAAATTCATTATTGTATGAACACCCACTTGTTTCTGGAGATTCCCTTAGTTATCTTTTTACCGTCCTTAAACCAAACAATGTCCTTCTTGCTGACCCCCTCTACAAGTACTTCACAGGTCAGAACTAGAGACTGTCCTTTCTTGATCTGGTTGTCGGGGTTCTCTGCCTGGAGAGGATGCTTGCTTAAAACGAACAACATATTCACACTTTACAGCACATTCCACACATAGGTGGAGCTTTCCTTAGTTTGATCTAACAACTAAAATATTAACTTACCACGACCCAGTTATCAAGACAGTAGGGACAGCATTCATCATCCTTCCTTGCCTCTAGCTGGTCTTCCTCACAGTTAAGAGTTTGACACTCCTTGTCTTGACACGTCCATCTCCCCTGCATCTTGACAAGTACATGTCTGACACTCTGCTTCCTCTTCTATAACTGCTCCGTTCTGTTTATTCAGAGGTTTTACAAAATAAAATTATTCTTGTTGAAAAAGTTATACTTATTGAGAAAGGGTACCTGAGATGAGTAATTTTCCGTGTTACTGAATCTTAATTTCCTAAAGCGCTCGTCAGTCACTCACATCATAAAACTGTCCCTCGTAGAGACACTTGCACCCGCTAGCATCTACACAAACTCCATCCTGTAGGAACTTTCCTGCTGGACAGAAACACCCTCTAACAGTCCCGGTCTTCTCTGGCTCCTTGTTGAGACAAGTTGGTACTGGGGGTGGCTCCGTCAGATAGGTACACTGTTGGTTCAGGACTTTCGTACGCTGAGGGAATATTCAGAGTAGCTGTGGTTCGACAAAAGTTATGATAAATTTTATTAAATTGGGCCGGAGCTTAGAAATCTATAGTTGAACTTAATACTTTTTAGATGGATCTTTATTCAATTTTATTTTTTATAACCAGGTTAATTTGATATGTAGCCATGCTATCGATGTGACTTAATTACAAATTTAAGCTGATCAAATACATGTATCATCAATGTTTTACAATTGCCCAACTTTGTTAATAAATGGTTGTTTTCAAAAAAGAACTAGCTTTTTATGTCACAACAATATTGGATTCCAGAATAGCTTACCGACAGATGGAAATATTGTTTTCTCCAGTTTGCGACATTAAAGCCGTTATTCTGACATTGTGTAGCATACACATCAAATTGAGCACAGGCACACCGCCTGAAGGAAGTAACTCTGTGAATCATTTTGTATCTACTACAAATATTTTGTAGAAGAAAAAACTCTATGATTCTGATAAAATCACAAGTCTTGGAATATAAAACATACTGGTAAGATATAAAAACTGAAAGAAAGTCCATCAATAAAAGCTCTCACTTCATCTAATAGCAGTTACAGACGCCATCATGCAATCCTTCATGGGACCACCGTTTCTGTCTCCAATAGGGGACGCACCGTTACATTGTTTAAACGGGTCATCTAGGAGGGGGGGGGGGGGGGGTGTAATAAGTTGTTCTCTGAACTTTGAATGTCAAACGGGTTCATTTCTTAAAACCGCGAGTAATATTCGAGATCAAGGCCCAGTTAATTATTGATAAAAATTAAAATTGAGACCACGTACTCAAGAGAGCAGAGCAGATAGCCTCAGCTTCGTCGTGCAGGTTTCCGACGTCTCTGCAAACATCTGGTGGAGAGGGGGAGCAGGACAGTTCTCATCGTATTTCTGGTGCATTATTCCCAAACTATTTGCACTTCCTCCCGTTAGATCATCGCTAGGGTTCCCATTCCAGTTCCCACACATACCCTTTGTTATGTCAGCACAAGACCCGTGGAGCCACATTTCAGCGTTGATATAAGAACCACCGTTTGTAGCACGCAGACGCACGGATGGGTTTCTGCCCTTGTTGTACAGCCTGATTTCAAGTTGACCATTATGATGATTTCAACCCTGTCTCCATTGTTGTAGTGTTTGATGTAGGGAATTTGCACCTGGTAAGTTGGTTATTTGCTGATTAAAATATAATTATGAGATTTTAGTATTAGCCCACTATTTACAATTTTTACCGAGACAGTAGTTAATATAGAATTGAAGTACTCACATTTACGTCATCGACCTTTGACACCAAACCTCTCTCGATAGAAAATTTTGATCCCTTGAAAATCAGTTCAATCCGTCCTGTGTATCTTGGGGCTCGATTATGAAGATCAACATTCTTGAAATTTACCTGAAATAAAAATCAATCATCAGAAATATTGCAGTTTGTACTTTGTATGCCTAGATATTTTCTACTGAAGAATTGCAGGTTGTGGATTACTGGATGGTGCCAGCCTCTCACTCTGCATTATCTTCTGATCAGGACCCCAGATCACAGGTAAGGCGTGGAAACTCAGGAACTGGCCATGGAAGGACATACACAGATAAACGGAGTAATAAAAGATACTAAATCTTAAATTCATGGCTTTCTTTGCAGGTAGAAACCACAAACAGTCCTGCTGATAATGTTTGAAGAACCTACCACAACTGACAAACGTAAAAACCGTAATCTAATGATAAAAAAGAAGCTAGTAAATAAAACTTACAACGAAGTCCCCACAACTAGCTGCCTGGTATGTACATACTCCATGGAAATCATAGTATTTTCCGTCAAACGACCTGTAGTGAGGATCTCCGGAGCTGGAGCAATAAGCTGGTGCTGAAATTAATTAGGTGAGTACTAAGTTATTGTAGTAATGAATCTTTATTCTTTATCACCATGGTCACTAACCCATATAAGTTCAGTTATCATCATAACCTACATTTGATACACTTAGACTCGCACTCCTCAGGATCTGTCCACTTCACAGTGCCTCCCGGACAGACCAGAGTGTCGTCACCACACGCACAGTTGATACCCGCCTCAGAGCAAGTACAAGTTTTTCCATCTTCTCCTGGCCACTGTTCTCCTCCAGAGTATGTTGTTCCATCTTCAGCAGTACAGCTTATAGGTGTACAAACCTCAGCTCCTTCTACCTGTGAATGGAAGTCAGATATTAGTTTTTCCCTATATGTATTGTAAAGTTGTAAGACTGGTAGAGATTTGGCACTGAACAAATTCTTCTACCTGTTATTAGAGGTTATAGCTATTATTTTTTACAAAGTTTAACCTGAAGTCCCAAATTAGGAATTACAAACCTTGATAGTAGGCCAACTGGTTACGGATTGGAAGCCGAATCCAACATGACCAGGTGCTACAAAGAAGGGCTGCTGAGAGGAGATAGACTCTTCTCGAACACCGTCTATCCAAACTGACTCCTCCTCACCTTGAACCAGGATCTCTGAGGGAAACACACGATGTGAAACACAATGATTCATCTTGGGTGGGTTTCATGCTTGCTTTGGGGCCAATTTTTATTAATAAGGGCGCAATATATTGGAAATGAAGATTGGCCACTGCCCACTGGTAATCGACCGCTGTTATTAATCATATCACCTTATATTATTATAATATTAGCAACGTTTTGGATCATCATCTCCCAGGAGGATAGAATGAATATGAATTACTCGCACGCTTAGGTTCGGTCATAATTAGGTCATTTGGTATTCATGCCACCCCGCTGATACAGCTAACAACTGCTGATGCCTGAGATCCGAAGCCTACTCAAAAGCTTGCTCTATGGTCCTAGTTTGTTGATTTAAAGTCTACCGTACACCTCCAACTCGGATTTTACACAAATTCCGGGCTAAACCTTCCTTATCTATCATCACTAACCTAGAGTCGCAGCACCAGAAGCGACAGCGTTATTCTTGACTTTGCTTTGAGCGAGATTTTGTCCATTACCGTTAACTATTTTACCCATTTGAACATTAGCCATTACTGGCACCTTCAATCTGGGAGAAAATGTATTACTTTTTGACGTCGTCAATATCTCTTTTTAATAATCAATCCATAGTAGTGGGGCAATATAGTAACTTAGTAAGAAAAGTCCGGGTTTTTATGCCCCTTCCCCTCTCTCTCACCCTCCAGCATCTACATTTTCACATAATGTTTCGTCTCACCTCATCATTACGTAGTTGCCATTGTTATCGTCCTCCATATTAAAGGTAATACCTCCGAAGGGACCAGCTCTGGCACTTGAATCGCTGTTAGAGAAACGGGCCTTGACGTAAAAGTCTTTGCTGGTGTGAAGTCCCTCCCCAGAAAGCGAGATTACACAAAACTTGTTAGCCCCTGCTCCAGACTGGATAAATTAACTTATGTTATATATTATAGAACTAGAAGGATACAAGTGTGAGAACACTCAAAATAAACAATGCATCACGTGAGGGAGAATGAGACGTCACGTGAGGGTGAATGTGACGTCACATGAGGGAGAATGTGACGTCACGTGAGGGAGAATGTGACGTCACGTGAGGGAGAATGTGACGTCACTTGAGGGAGAATGTGACGTCACGTGAGGGAGAATGTGACGTCACGTGAGGGAGAATGTGACGTCACGTGAGGGAGAATGTGACGTCACGTGAGGGACGAGGGTGAATGTGACGTCACGTGAGGGTGAATGTGACGTCACGTGTGCGTGAATGTGACGTCACGTGAGGGAGAATGTGACGTCACGTGAGGGAAAATGTGATGTCACGTGAGGGTGAATGTGACGTCACGTGAGGTTGAATGTGACATCACGTGATGAAAGAGAAAGTGAAAGTGACATCTGTATTATGTTTCACGTGATAATATTAATGTATAACGTGATGAAACGAACATTACCTTGGAGTTTGAAGTTCCAATGCTCCATACTCCGTTTGCATAAGAGCTTGACGTCACACATCCCTCAACAGACGATGTTATTGTAGTAAGCGGAGCACAACTCCATTCCCCTGTTGAAATTACGAAATAAAAAGGTCATGGGGGTGATTCGGAATCAACGTCCAAAAATCAACAATTTTTAAACATTTGGGCGAGCGATTTAGTGGGAGCGTTATTCATTGTTCATATTGTAACAAAACAAGTAGAACCATTATTTTTGAATGAATGAAGCTATTAAACTAATTTAACTTACCTGGTGCGTTCCCAGCTAAAACTGCAGGCAATCTGGAATTAAGGGTTCTCTTGATAATTTAGCATCACGATAGCTCTCAAATTTGATAATCACTTTAAATTAAAAGTTAAAATTTAGGTTATAGTAAGGGGAAAAGTGGCATTCCGTTGGATTTGAATGTTCACAAGGATTTCTCAACGGAATATGGTAGTTAGGACCCCTACGAACATAATTAGACTTGTTGCCAATTTTGTATCTCAACAGAAACACCACTTTTACCACTTTTTACCACCTTTGTACCACCTTTCTGGTTTGCCAAATATCTTTAGTTGTGAACATCGTAAAAGGCTGCAAATTAACCTAGAATGTTTATCTTATCAAGGAGTAAAACTTTTGTATCAAAAATTTTTACATTGGACAATCAGCTAATTGGATAATTACCAATTAGTTAATCACCAAAAAAAGTGAAAATTGTTTATTGGCTCAAAATGATTGAAATCGTTTGAAACACGGAGAAATGTAGTTTTTAGAAAAACTTCAAAAATTTTTCACTTAAAAATTTTTTTCGAGACTTGGAAAAAAGTTTGAAAATTTGAAAATATTTTTTTCCGCCAAAGGTGATCGAATTGCATGAAACGTGAATAAAAATGCTTTGCAGTAAAACTTCGAAGATTTTTAGATTGGGGAATTCTAAAATCATCAATATTTAAAGTTGGAGTTCAGTAAATCTCGACATATTTTAGTAATTAGGAATAGCTTAGCGGAAAGGGCTGAACCTGAAAAAGGTTAACCACACAATATTAGAGTTTCATAACTAATTACAATACAGCTTTATCAAATTCCACATAAAGAAACAGCACAAAAGGACCATTTAAGATCGAACCGATTTTACCTGCTGTTCTATCATTTTATTGATTTCAATGATCAAAACCTCTGTACTGTCAATCTTGCCAATCTATACCGGGTATCTGAATGTACCGGACCTTTTATTTACCTCTATAATTAGACCCAGTTGTGCAAGAAATCCGATTTCTCACAGGGGTTTCTTTTAACTGTGCACTTTTTGTCACTCTCGCAAGAGGCCAGGTATTATAGGGGGGTATAGGAAGCGTAAATATACCTTCCATCATCCACTGTGGCTTTTTTGTATTGTGAATGCGCATGCCGCTTCGTTTGCTATGCCAGATACCTCAAATAACCCCCATATCTCATTACCAGGGTCGGGATAGAGCTGGAGATAGCATCGAGAGGTTGCTAGAAATAGCTAGATTTAGAGTAAACTGGTGGTAGCTGGGTGGTGCTAGCATGGATGTAGCAGAACGTAGCTACACGGGGTTTCATTGGAGTTGGTTATTTTAATGGCCAAAGAGTGCCGGAACTAAAGTTACTTAAGATTGCAGTTGAGGGGCAGTGTAAACCACGGTGTAGTCACGGACACAGAGCTACAGTGCAGGAGTACTGCAAAAGAACAGTGCAAGTGATACAGTCTGCAACAGTAAAACGCCGACAAAGCTAGACTTAGAGTGAACTGATGAAAGCTGGGTGGTGCTAAAATGGAGGTGGCAGAACGTACTAGTACTACATGATGAAAACAGGAAAACTAAGGCTGGTTGAGACCTAAAAAGATGTAATCTTTCCTGATAGATCCAGTGAAGAGCGAGTAGCCAAGAGTTTGATCATTAACCTAAAGCTCTAAAGAAGAAAAGGGCTAAAGAGACTCGCTTAGGTACGGCAAGGTCTGTAGCCTTGATAAGAAGATACCATGAAGTAATTCATGCGGAAAAGTCGATTTATATAAAGGGTTTCGTTGGATCTAAAAAGGGTGGGTCAGTCTCTCTGTTTTCATCAGATTCTGATAAAAGGCTGTTAAGCTCAGGACGGTGATCTTAATAGGTCGGATAGCTGTACCTGGTTGCTTCCAGCCCACCCTTGTCGCTTGAAAATAAGTTCTCACCCCACCTCTTCCAAAAATGCAGTTACCAGAGCAGGAAACTCTTCTTCCTCCTCTTCTTTCAACCCAAACACAATCAGGTTCCAGCTCCTCTCCTCCTCTGCAGCCACAATCTTATCTCCTTCTTCGGCGTTTTACTGTTGCAGACTGTATCACTTGCACTGTTCTTTTGCACTCTGTGTCCCTGACTACACCGTGGTTTACTGCACTGCCCCTCAACTGCAATCTTAAGTAACTTTAGTTCCGGCACTCTTTGGCCATTAAAATAACCAACTCCAATGAAACCCCGTGTAGCTACGTTCTGCTACATCCATGCTAGCACCACCCAGCTACCACCAGTTTACTCTAAATCTAGCTATTTCTAGCAACCTCTCGATGCTATCTCCAGCTCTATCCCGACCCTGGTAATGAGATATGGGGGTTATTTGAGGTATCTGGCATAGCAAACGAAGCGGCATGCGCATTCACAATACAAAAAAGCCACAGTGGATGATGGAAGGTATATTTACGCTTCCTATACCCCCCTATAATACCGGGCCTCTTGCGAGAGTGACAAAAAGTGCACAGTTAAAAGAAACCCCTGTGAGAAATCGGATTTCTTGCACAACTGGGTCTAATTATAGAGGTAAATAAAAGGTCCGGTACATTCAGATACCCGGTATAGATTGGCAAGATTGACAGTACAGAGGTTTTGATCATTGAAATCAATAAAATGATAGAACAGCAGGTAAAATCGGTTCGATCTTAAATGGTCCTTTTGTGCTGTTTCTTTATGTGGAATTTGATAAAGCTGTATTGTAATTAGTTATGAAACTCTAATATTGTGTGGTTAACCTTTTTCAGGTTCAGCCCTTTCCGCTAAGCTATTCCTAATTACTAAAATATGTCGAGATTTACTGAACTCCAACTTCAAATATTGATGATTTTAGAATTCCCCAATCTAAAAATCTTCGAAGTTTTACTGCAAAGCATTTTTATTCACGTTTCATGCAATTCGATCACCTTTGGCGGAAAAAAATATTTTCAAATTTTCAAACTTTTTTCCAAGTCTCGAAAAAAATTTTTAAGTGAAAAATTTTTGAAGTTTTTCGAAAAACTACATTTCTCCGTGTTTCAAACGATTTCAATCATTTTGAGCCAATAAACAATTTTCACTTTTTTGGTGATTAACTAATTGGTAATTATCCAATTAGCTGATTGTCCAATGTAAAAATTTTGATACAAAAGTTTTACTCCTTGATAAGATAAACATTTTAGGTTAATTTGCAGCCTTCTACGATGTTCACAACTAAAGATATTTGGCAAACCAGAAAGGTGGTACAAAGGTGGTAAAAAGTGGTAAAAGTGGTGTTTCAGTTGAGATACAAAATTGGCAACAAGTCTAATTATGTTCGTAGGGGTCCTAACTACCATATTCCGTTGAGAAATCCTTGTGAACATTCAAATCCAACGGAACCCTTAAATCGACCACTTTTCCCCTTACTATTAGGGTTTTTGTAAAATCGTTTTGTTCGGCTGAAAAACCAAATAAATAATAAACCTAAGTCGCATATTAATTTTCGAGCGAGCAAAATAATATGAGGTATGAGCCGGCTATCATACATTGAATAGTTAAAATGTTTGTGTTATGTACTCCGTGACCGTAACTAGAAATAAAGTAAAACTTACAAGAACAGCAAAGAAGCTGCGACCAACATTAGCTCGATCCTTTGTTCTACAATACAAATATTAATGAGCGATAAACTTTAAACTCACGATCAGCTAATATCCAAATATTAGAATGTATTCAGAATTTAATAGTCTGTTAACAGTTAATTACGTAAGGCTACGCAATATTTTAGATCATTAAAATCCTGGTATAGCAACAGAATTATTGTACCAGCAAATTATTACTACATTATAACTAGTAAATTACATCGTTATAGCCTACATTTGAAGCGAAGCAAAAGTACGCTGCAAACTATAATTGGGATTACAACCTTAAAACCTGCATTTGATCAAATACTTTATCAAAAGCAGCTCCTCTTATATAGTCTCACTAAGAAGTTAAAGTTAACTCAGTTCATTTGGTGCTGTACTACGATCCCATTTTAGAGCTGCTCCAGCTCTATGAGGACATCACAATCACATGTAGAGATGTCCGTTAAGCTTCAACCCACTTGTTCAGCTGCTCCACGCTAACGACCCTGCTTATTCTTATTTCAAATCCAGCTTCTCAATTTCAACAAAATTTTCAAAATATAGGAATTTAAAGTTTTTTTACAAAACTGTAAGTATAAATTTCTCCGAATTACTTATACATGCTGGTTCCCATAAGTGCTGATTTCAACCGCGTTCCCTTTGGCCTAACCAAACTTTTACAGAACTGCAGACCGATGTAAATTGTAAAATAGACACCAGCTGTGAAACAATGATACCTCATGGCTCCATTTATTTATCAATAAGTCAATACTGATCCTAAGTCTGCTAGCAATTTAAATTTTATCAAACTACTAAAATTGCGTACAGACTTACAAATAATCCAATTACCCAGATTCACAGTCAGTGCACAGAAAATGAAACTGCGTCGATTATAAAACCATGTGGTACGTTTCCAAATCCATATCACGTACATAAAATAATTTGATACATGTTACGTATCAAAAATCTAATGACCTCTCCTGCTACGAAGATAATCAACTCAACCAAAGTAACCATGAAGTAAGTAACTCTCGGCCGTTTTAGACCCCTCGCTCACCCTCCATCAGACGACAGACACTTTACAGTTATTATACAAGAATTACTTTATTCGCAATAGCTATGAAGATATCCACCTAAAGTGTTAGATCATTTTGCACAAGGCTTTCTCTCCAACGGTCCCAGTGAACCTCTAGGCTCTGACTCAGGTCTTTAAACTAAAATCATGATAATGATATCATGAGATTCTGATGAACCACAAGGCGCGTCACAATTTTTATTTTTATCAGACTCATGACATTAATGATTTGCAAACAATTCTCCGTTTAAAATAAAAACATTTATATAATGTCTAAATATTATTTTTTTGAAACATGAATTATATTGAAATAAACAGGATGAATATTCTTCGTAG